GCCCTCAATCGCCACTTTTGAGGGACGAGTTCTCAGAGTTTCAGTCAAACAGAATCGTCAAAAAGTCGGGAATCGAGAGGAACCCCAAAAATAGGCCTTTCGTTGACTACAGAACTCAATAAACAAAATGAATGTCATTTCCATTAGACATTATAATTCACTTTTCATTTCAATGTATTTAAATATAATGTTTTAGAAAATCAGAAAATTGTTTTAAACAAATAAAACTTTATAAGTTTGAATAAAATAACGCTTTATAACTACAATACTATGAATTAAAAATTGTTTTATTATTCTTATAAACTCTAACATTCATTAATATATTCCGTGAAAATTATACACAATATTTATTTACGGAAATCATTATTCATTTAAATACACTTTAAAAGCCAACATTACATAACAAATCAACACATTTTTAAAACTCTTAAATACAAATAATTGAAATACAATTTAAAAATAATATTAAAACAATCAAAAATATTTTTGATATACACACTGAAAACATGTAAAAATAATAATTATAAATAATAATCTAATATAAATTTATTGTGTAATAATTACAAAGCGATGAATTTAGTAGTAAAACAGTAATTAATAATAAAACTATTAAATGTATTGAAGACTATATACTTAACCAAAACAGTGATCAAATGAGAGATTCAATTATGAAATAATAGTTACAATAGATTTGTGATCACTCTTGAGGTCCAGTGAAACGCAACTCAAGAGTAAATGGTATGACACGACGCGTATCGTCCGTTTCAAAGCCTCTGATAATAAAATACGCCGACTGATCGGTGGGACCCATAAAGCAGACGAGTCCTCTTTGACCGTATATCTCATTCATGTCCAGATCACTCACATCGAGTCCACCGATCACTTTGGGCACTAAATACACCGTACAATTGTCATCGATATCGCACTCTTTCAGAGTCTGCGAATCAAACAAATACTTCACTTTAAACAACTTCTGGTCCTTATATGCGATGCCTTCCAACTCGTCTATCAATCTCTTCATATCGCCCACAGTATTATCGGATCCGATCTTGAGGTCAAAGTCTTGTTTCATAAGAGAGCCGCCATTACGATAGGTATAGTGGATATTAACCCGCATTTGTTGGCCTTTTATCTCAAATGGTTTCTCCGTTTTGACGGCGACACCGATTCTGGAGCACAAAACGAGTGTCTCCTCGACAGTGAGTCCGTATCGGTTGGCTCTCAAACGGATCACATCGTCGATGGTCTGCGAGCCGTCGTTACGCTTAAACACCAATTGCTTACCACTGATGTCAATGGCTTTGTGTGTCAACCGTTGGCCGCGTCTCAAGTGATATCTCTTGATAAATACGGGCGAGTATTGAAACGAGTACTCAATGTTTGCGGCGCTGAAGACGTTGTCCACCTCTACCTCGAAGTCGGTCTGCGGGACATCGAAACAGCAGATGTATGTGTTGTCAGTGTCTGTGTCTAACGGACTCGGCATCAGTTTGAGCGTCCGTTTGGATCCGTCGACAGTCGACACACGTCTTAACCGGAAACGAGGGCCAAATCCATAGCCAATCCATTCACTGTCTTCGCTGACCACAGCCCTCATCGCTGGTGATGTCTAACGGATCCAAAACATTAAGACATCAATTACTCTGTCATTTGTCTCTCATATTTTCATTGATAATAGGTTTTCAAAACAATAATACAAACCATTTGTTGGTTTCGTTGACTCAATTGATGAATAGATGGATCAGTTTGGGTGATGTTTACCACCGATTGTCTGTCAATAAGTGTTTTATTGTATTTGTAGTGAATTTGAGACAAAACTATGAGTCAATCAAACAATGGTTCAAAACTTTTATGCATTTAACAAAAAAGGGCACTATTTTTGACTCAAATAAACTGTAATTCATTGTAACGTTATTCGTGAACAACCCATCGTGTATTCATTAAACTTGTTTAAAACTGTAAGAATTGTGTGATTGAAATCAGCATGGTTGGTTCGGCTATATTAATTAACTAGTTATTGAAATATACATATACTGTACTTATGTTTAAGTGTTATAAAAACATTGACATAAAACTGCAAATTCATTATTTTATAACTTATAAATTATGTTACAAACTTGAAAATGAACCTTGGACATCGCTTCGAAAATGTGCATGAAAGTGTAAATTGATCAGGATCATGTGCTTTTAAATTAATATAACGAGAATGATATTTATTTTTAAAATTTGAGATTTATTGCAAAAATCATTGATAGATTTGGCACTAAATTAACTAAAACAACATAAAAATTACAATTGAATTACAGAATCGGTTAATACAAGTAAAACAATAAAATTTATTTTATTTTTAAAATTTGAGATTTATTGCAAAAATCATTGATAGATTTGGCACTAAATTAACTAAAACAACATAAAAATTACAATTGAATTACAGAATCGGTTAATACAAGTAAAACAATAAAATTTAAATTAATTTTAAAATCAAATCATGAAATATACACATATTTTTTGTTTTATAATTAAATAAATAATAAAATCCAATCGAGAATGCAATTGACAATTGAATTCTAGAGTCTATTATATAAATAAAATTTTAGTTACAAATTGTGTTTTAATTGCAAAAATGTTTTATATAATTAAAATGCAAATTCACTCCAAATCTATGGAGATATTTATCACTCATTGCTTTAATGATATGAAATATTAGAAATTTTCGCAATTTATTGGTGAAAATTGATATCAAAAAATGTCAATTATTTTTTTGTGATTTAATTGTCGTATAAATATAATGACGTTTATAATGATATATGAGATGCTAAGTCCTGGACGTAGTGCCGATGCCGTCGTGTTTTAATTCAGCAAACTTTGAATCCGTCGCTGAGTTGTGATGGCCCGCGGATACGGTGTCCGCCATATTGTTGGTGCGGTTCAAGAAGTTCATCCGTATTGAACCGCTGGGTGTGAGACGACCCCTGATTTGGCTCACAATTTGTCTGGCGGTGGCCGTCGAGTAAGAGGGCGGCGCCTCGTATTTGGGCGGCGGATCGTCCGCCACATAACCCGAGTTCAGGTTTCCCACAGAGTTTGGATCCGACATAAACGATGTCAGTGTCGGACAGAATAAGGCCTAAAATTATTGTCAAATTTTTGTTATTAGTTTAAAAATTAGTTAAAATGCCATTAAATACTTGTATTCTTTCGTGAAAAAGTCCGGACGACTGTTTCGGATATAAATAAATGATTAGCTGAACGGAACCGATGAAGAAGACAAGGAATAGTGGTGTTATCTGAAACACAGTGGACATTGATTTTGTCCATTCGGGCCAATAGGCGTAAAACGTGACCACTTGTGTCCACGTAAGGCCACCCGCGTTATGGGAACGCGTGAATGCGATCGACAGGATCTGTTTGAATA